TCTATTACAAGTATTAAATTAAGGAAATATTTTTAGAATATTCCTATACTAATCTTTATACTAATCTGGCTTTAGAAAATAATAAAGAAAGAATTAGAAAGTAGTTAAATAATTACTTGGCTATAGTAAGTATAATGGCTTATATATAGCTTGGGATAATAATAACCCGGTATAGGAAAATATTAAATATAATTCCGAGAATAATATATAGTTTAAGAAAATATAGAAAACTAAGGAAAAGCTTAATTAAGAAAAAAAGATTAAGCGAGTTTTAGAGAATAAAATAAAAGAAAAGACTAATAGTATATAAAGAGCTTTAGCTAAAATATATAACCTCTTTTTAGATTAGTATAAAGATTAGTATAAAACTAACTAAAATAGAAATATAAATATATTAAATTTATAATATAGCAAGAAACTTAGTAAAAGAAAAAGAGATTCTTATTTTATAAGATTAGATTATTATATAGTAGGTATAAATTTTACTTATTTTTATATTAATTACTAATTATTATATAATAACTATATTATATTTATTAGTCTTACTAAATTCTTTATATTAGGCAAAAAGGCTATTTAGAGAAACTTGGCTAGTTAGGTATAGAAAGATAATAAATAGATTAATCTTCCTAGTTCTATTACTTAGTAGCCAGAATCCGAGGCTGAGTTAAATACTACTAGCTTTTACTTCTTTACTAAATCTCGAAAAGGCCATAAAGTAATACTACTACTAGTATATATTAGAAAGAAGCCAAAGAATAGCTTATACTAATATGTTTTCTTATCTAATTCTAAGTTATAGGTTATAGAAAATACTATAGCTACTTAATAATATTTAAGAAACTTCTTTAGTAAAAATAGTAGTTAGCTAAATACTATATCTTTAAGATACTAAGAGTTATAAATTATAAAGAAAATAATTATAATTATACTAATTTTTATACTAATCTTATTATTTCTTACTAGTATTAATAAAAATATTTAAAATCCTACTTCTTTTCTAATACTTTAAGTATTCTATTATCTCTAAAGTCTTAGCTATTATTTAGGTCCTATTTCATAATACTATATAGCAAGTACCTAAAAAGATTTACTTTACTTTAGTACTTATTACTAGAATTAAGAGAATATTAATTATTATAAGTAAGAGCTTTGGCTAGTACCTTCTTTATATATCTTAATATTACTATTAAAATATAAATAAGTTCCTAATATTATATAGCTTTTTCTAATAATAATTCTCGTATTTATCTTAACTTACCGGCTATATATATTTCTCTAATATCTGAGTAATCTTATTAAAATTATCTAGTTTTCTTTTTACTAGCTATTTAATTTCCTTAACTAGTACTAAACTATTAGGGGCAGATATCTAATCTTAATATTTCTTCTAAAGCTTTTTAACTTTAGTTAAGATAGGCTAAACTCATCTTTTTTCCTAATTAGCCCTAATATACTTCATATAGTAATTCAGATAAAGTATAAAAGTAATAATATAAAGAGGTATATTATTAGACTTATAGTAATATATATTAAAAATTTCTTATTTTTTCTGGATTTGAATATAAAAGTCTTTATTATTTATATATATATTCTATTATATTATAGTTAGTATTATTAATTCAAGTAATAAAAATTATTACTTACTAGTAATCTATTAAATACTTAAATTAAAATATTTATTATAAAAAGTACCCGATTAATAGTTATAGTATTTCCTTAAGTCTTAAAAGTAATTTTATAGAATAGTTTAAGAAAAATAGAAATTATCTAAAGCCTTCCCTAGTTTTCCGGACTAAGGTAATCTGATTTTAGATCTATAAAATACTTCTTATAATAAGTATTAAGATAAATATATTACTAAAAAATAATATTAAGTATTATATACTAGCTATTCTATTATATCTAATTATTAAGAGAAATTATTTTTCTAGTAAGAACTTTAAATCTAGTAATCTAACTAGAAAAGTAACAAATATATATAATAATATTATAAAGCTAGCCTAATAGTCCTAAAAATCAAAATTTCATTTATTTTTCCTTATTACTTAATAGGGCTTCTAAATCTCCTAAATTCTTTTACTTATTAAGCGCCTCTAATTCTTTATTTATAAAAATATTATAAAATAAAAAGGCTTATATAAAAAGATTAATAATATATTCTAAATAATAAACCCGCTATTATAAAGTATCCTATTCTAATTCTTCTTCTCTTAGTAAATAAGCCTGAATAGTTTAATATAATATACTATTTATACTAGTATTATTACTAATAATAGCTCTAAGTTATTTAGTAATACTATAGTCTTAAAATATAGGTTATAAAACCGTAAATTGGTTTTCTCTTAAATAACCTAGTATTATATAAAGAGCTAGAAAGGCCTTTATATAATTCTTATCTTATTATTTAATAAAATATATAATAATATCTAAAAGAAAATATTCTTATAAAAAAGTCTAGATATTAAAAGTAAGATAAATACTTGAAACTATAGACTAGAGTTTTTATTATATAATATTCTTTAAGCTAACCTAGTATTTTCTAAGCTTTTTTCTTATATAAGAGTAAGTTATAGAAAGAAAGAACTAAGATTCTAGATTAAGTACTTAATAAAAGATATGAAATTCGGGCTATTTAATTACTTAAAAAGATAGATTATAGATAATAATTAATAAAATTAAAGCTTTATAAATTACTATCTAATTAAGGTATTATTAAAAGATATATATATTAATTTTAGTTATTTAACTAGATAACTCTACTTATAAATAAAGCTATTATAGCTAGTTAATTACTTTTAATTAAAGTAAACTAATTTCCGATCTGCTTTTAATAGTAATATTATATACTAACTTGAGATAATTATATTAATTAGTAAAAACTAAAGTCGAATAAATATTTAGTAGATTTTCCTTTTTATAAAGAAAATAATAGTAGTATTTGGGTAGTTCTCCTATATCTGGATATCTAAAACAAATATAAGCCCAAATAGCTCTTATAAGTTTTTCTCATTTGGAATTAGATTTAGATCGAATTGAGTCTATATTAGTAGAGGCTTAATAAATTAATAAGACAGATTTAGAAGCCATATTTAAATAATAGAAGATAAAGTACTATTATATATTAAAGAAAGAATAAAAGAAAATATAAAAATTTTAATTTTTTTTAAAAGAAATAGTAATATAAATCTTAGTATTATATATTAAATACTAGCTAGTCTATATTATATAATAGACTATTAAATAGAAAGTATAATAGTATATTTATAATAGTCTACTTTTATATTAATCTTTATACTAATTAGTTTATAATTAAACTAGAAAGCGAGATATTTATATAATAGAACTTGCTTAATAGCTAGCTAGGCCTATTTTTATTAATAATTATTAAGGCAATAGGGCTTGCTTAAGAGCTAGCTAGACCTATTTTTATTAATAATTATTAAGATAATAGGGCTCGCTTAAGGGCTAGCTAGGCCTACTTTTATTAATGGAATTATTAATAACTAGATTAGATACTAGCTAGTCTATATTATATAATAGACTATTAAATAAAAAGTTAAAAAATCTAATAATATAATAATAATAGTATACTTTTATACTAATCTTAATACTAATTAGTTTATAATTAAACTAGAAAGCCGTAATAGGGCTCGTTTAATGGCTAGGCCTACTTTTATTAATAATTATTAAGGTAATAGGGCTCGCTTAATAGCTAGCTGGGCCCACTTTTATTAATAATTATTGAGGTAATAGGGCTCGCTTAAGGGCTAGCTAGGCCTACTTTTATTAATGGAATTATTAATAACTAGATTAGATACTAGCTAGTTTATATTATATAATAGACTATTAAATAGAAAGTTAAAAAGTCTAATAGTATAATAATAATAGTCTATTTTTATACTAATCTTAATACTAATTGGTTTATAATTGAACTAGAAAGTAAGATGTTTATATAATAGGGCTTACTGGCTGGCTGGGCCCACTTTTATTAATAATATTATCGAGGCAATAGGGCTCGCTTAAGGGCTGGCTGGGCCCACTTTTATTAATAATTATCGAGGTAATAGGGCTCGCTTAATGGCTAGCTGGGCTCACTTTTATTAATGGAATTATTAATAACTGGATTAGATACTAGCTAGTCTATATTATATAATAGACTATTAAATAAAAAGTTAAAAAGTCTAATAGTATAGTAATAATAGTATACTTTTATACTAATCTTAATACTAATCGGTTTATAATTGAACTAGAAAGCCGTAATGGGGCTCGTTTAATGGCTGGGCCCACTTTTATCGATAATAATTATCGATATCAATCGTTTATCGATCGCTTAGCCGATAACGATTACTAATCGATAATCCCGATCGATAATTTATCGGAGCCCACACTGCCTAAAGCTACGAAGAGAGCGCCAAATGATTGAGCGGACACTATTACACACCATGGAAAGTAGTATAGAAAGACTTCTAGCTCAATATCCATCTCCTCCGCCGAGCTTGTTACTCTCTTCATCGCCTGATACCCAGCCCCCATGTGCCTGGTCGGAAGCGTAGCATCAATAAATTCTATCGAAGGTACTGTTCAGCAATCCCTGCCATTGATGTTTCCCCGGGTGATCGCGCGGGTTCTTTGTGGGGAGCGCCGGTCTATCAACCAAGCCCTCTTCACACCACTAAGGAATCTGAGGTCCCCTCTATTAGCTCAGATCAATAGACCTTCCATCTCGACCTATCTCTGACGTCGGTATTGATGTATAAACCCCTGTATAACTCAATCCCGTTGAGTCTGGGCCGGGAAGGAAGTACCTGCTGTTAATATGTAGCCTATGCTATTTGCAAACATGTGGGTACGCTTTCGCCACTCCGCTACCAGGCAGATGCACTGCAAAAATCTGCCAAGTTGCCCGGAATCCATCCCTCTTTAGGATAGCCTCATTTGTCTATTCTCTGTGAAATTTATTAGATCCGGTTCAGGTAGACATCTAAGGTATAACTGTATTACCGGATAATAGACCACAACTCTGTCAAGCGCTTTGCGGGAAGTTGAACTCGGAGATCCCGCACTCCACGACCAGCTTTATTAATACCATCTCCGTCTCGTTCCATGCCAATCATGTCCAGGATAATGGAGTTCAAGATATCGAAGGTGATGAGGTCTGAGCCGGTCAGCTGCGAGCGGAAGATACAGTGTATGCAGAAGCCAAAAAGTCCATTGACCTCTTGAAAGCTCAGGCCTTTCGGTTGTCCGTTCAATAGTCTTGTTTCATGTCTGACAACAGTCGGATTATTTGGAACTCGCGTGTAGATGAGGAACGTAAATTTGGGACCAGCTACAATACCGCTCAAAGCTCTTACTCGAAGATTGTAGGCTGTTTACCCTTTAATTCGCAAGAATATACAGCAACAGATTCAGTTCCTTGAGGGTTCGTGTATGCCTTGAGCGGCTCCCCTTCGTTCTCGGGATCTACCCACCTGCCATCGGCCAGGGAATATGCGGCAACAGGGAGGTGATTCATACAGGAGAAGTACCACATGTTGCGCTGATTGTTAATGCGGCATCCTTAATTCTTCCACTTCGGACCGTTATATAGCCTGTAGCTTGTATCAAGATCTCCTGTCTTGGGAGCCGAGATATCCATACGGTCGAAACACAAACCATGTTAGTAGTTGGGGATCTTGGCCCGGGCCTTGTATGTGCAGGTACCCAGAAGTTTCCGAATTCAAGTCGGCTTGCTTGGTGGCATTGAGCCACTCTATTGAGTCGCCCGAGCTGTGTCTGGAAGCATGCATTCGGACTCTGTGACCACGGGTAAATGCAGAACATGCAAGGGCTTCCGCATTATTTACAAAAACAGGCTATCAATGAATGTCTCGTTGAATCTGGTGCGTATACTATCAAGTAGTCCGATATCAGGTTCAAGCTATCTACATAAAGTTTGTTCATGTATGCATTACCCGGCTCCCCTCCGATCTCAGAATCTGCTTACCTGCCTTCGGCCAAGTAGTGCCTAAAATTGGCCACACCAGGTCACTCCTGCAGTGGTTGTTTCCACCGGGACGAATGGGTTATTGGTACACCACGGTGGTGGTAATTTGGGGGTGGTATTACTCGTTAGTGCCCATCCCTAATACTGGATTTTGTTCCAAGGATACAGAGGCTGTCAAAGATCTTCTTCACTCGCAAGATCTTGGAAGCAGCAAGACTAGAATCCGACTCGAGAACTTTTAGACTGTGTATCGAGACTCGAAGTTATTGATTGTTGTGGGTTCGTATATTGAAATCCTTTTACTAACGGAGGGTGGAGAAGCTCCAACGTTCGAATGTTAGCATGCCCCCCCTCCCCCCCCCCCCCCCCCCCCCCCCCCCCCCCAAAAAGCGATGGCAAGCGGAGTGAGTTATAGTTCAATGTTTATAAAGCAAAGACGAATAATTTCCCGACGGGAGACAAAGAGGTAGCCATGTTGACTATTGGTCTCATGAAGTTGAAGGCGATCTAAGGATCTTGAATCCGTTGTTGTCGCTATATTTAATGTGCCTTTGGCGACCACAGAGTACTACTATTTGTAACATATATATACCAGGCAAGCGGTGCCATCTTCAAACAGAGAGTAGCGAAAGATGGGAAGGGATGAGGGTGGGTTGGGATTGGGGATACATTTTGCAGTTGATCGAACCGAGGGTATCCTCGGGTTTAGCAATAAACGAGCAGAAGCACGAACCAATATTCGCCGCGTTAAGTCTGACATTGATTGTATTACTACCCCCATCCCCCTCCTTGCTACTTGGTTGTTCGACGTTTTGGAACTTGGGCACTTTGTGGTGTTCGTTCTATCTAGGCTCTCGGACGGTAACGCAGTGATCGAGGACACTAAGTCGATCTTGGTAGAGGGTTACTGAACCTCGCTGGACAGTCTCGATCGAGGCGTTGAATATGGTGGCATCTGTCCCCAGCCATTCAATTGAGTCGGTCGAGCCGCGTCCGGAAGCGTGATTTCGTGCATTGGACTCTGCGACCACTGGTGAAGTCATCTCGAAAGAAGAGAGGACCCCCCGAATGACGGTGGAGGATAATGGGCATGGTGGTGGGAGGGTGGCGTTTGCAGAGATAGATGGTCCAAATACTCTTCCAACTCTCAGGCAACACAACCATCACCTTACCCTCCCATTCCATTACCACAATTTATACCTTGGCCTATTGCCTCGTATGTCCTGGTAATCTCTCTCAAGTTCGCGACCTCTGTCTCGACTGTCATCACGCTAACCTTGCCCTCTGTATTCGTCTTGGTATCCACCAAAACCCTCCGATTATCAGAACCATTGCTGGAGGTTCGTGGACATGTCGGAGCGTTAACTAACCCCTCGGGCCTCTTGTGTGTTCGCTGAGGGAAAATCTCGAGTGGACACACGACCGATTGGTCTCGAAATGTTCTCGGTTTGACGCAAACGCGTTGTCGTTGTGGGACAACGTCTTGAGAAATCCAGTCTTTCCAGCCTTGTTGTTTCGCACGGGTGGTGATGCTGTTGCTGCCCTGGCTTCTCCTGTTTAGCCTTTTCCCGGACCACCTTCCGGTCTGCTGTATTGTTCAAATGCCTCGCCCTTGTGTGCTACCAGGAGCCGGCATTTGAGCTTTATGTCCTATAGATCGAGGCCGTCGCGAACTCGCCAATAGATTGTTGGAACGCTGTGTACTTTGGGTCTGTTGGAAAGTTGTGTACTGCGGGTCTGTTGGAAAGTTATGTACTCCCCGGGAGAGCTGAGGATACCCTAGTATTGTCGCGAACTCGCCAGTAGATTGTTGGAACGCTGTGTACTTTGGGTCTGTTGGAAAGTTGTGTACTGCGGGGAAAATTTCCTGTTGACTATAGCAGCAACTTCCTCGAGATCCCTCAAGCGGAGTCCGGAGCTGTTGTCTGTTGATTGACATAGCCTGTTGGTGCCGTTCGCTGTCCGGGCATGTTCCGCGATATTGTTGGTCGTCCTGCTGCGGTCTGGTTGGTTTATCCTCGTCCGTTGGGAATTTGAGAAAGAGGTGGTCGTTGTGGTGCCGTGATCTCAGACCTCTTCGACTATTTAGCGGGCTGAGGTTGGCACAATGCCTTCACACTCTCCTTTTGAGGAGTCCTGAGCTTGTTGTCGGAAGTTCTTGGATCTCTACCCAAGCGACGCTTGGAAGATTCGCCCTCACTGCCATCGACAACAGCATCGCATGGGATAGCGCAAACTTCAGAGGAGCCTCCATTTTGGGGAGAGTCATTCTTGCGCTCCTCTCCAAGTAATTGCGATGAAGTCCTTGAAGCTGGCTGGCCCTTATCTTGTGTTAGCAATCATGTTCCTAGATGGAGCACAAACGAAATGAGAAGTTCTGACATACCTCGAGCGAGAAATCCGTTCTGGTGCCGGTTTGCAGAAACTGTCTGGAGCCGAGTCAAAATCTGCGACGAACAAAGCCACGGTGTCTCTTATACCATTGAGGCTCTTCCTGGAAGATTCTATTTCGCCTAGGTATGCTCGAAGATTGCTTTAAAGACCCCGCAGTGGCATGGGCAAAATCAAGTTTCTTCGTAACTGCCTGCCAATCAGGTCTGTACCCCCCATGATTCCACGCAGAAACGGTAACAGGTCGCTTCATACATAACGAAAACCGGGAGCTAATCTGTTGAGCTGTAGGAAGAGACAAAGGGTAGCTTGCTGCGGCAAGTATTCAGATGCCATCGGACAAGAATCTGTTCAAGAAGGGATTGCTGTAGATTTGTGCAAGTGATGTAGTAAAGGAGACGTCTCTACTGGGTAAGGATGTCTGGGCGTCAAGTCCCATTCTGTGTGGTTACTTGAAGTTGGATTTGAGGTGAAAAGGTGTTGAGGTATATAACTAAGTTTGGAAAGGAAAAAATGCGCTGAAATAAAATGAGGATGAATGCTGGGGAAGGAGTGACTTCTTTTATAAAAGATCCGGGCGTTTGCAATAGAGGGTGTTTCCTCTCTTGCTTGGGTGTGTGAAGGCATGAAATCAAATGATTGCCTTTCTTTGCCGCTTGCCGATGAATTAATGACCTCTTTGGGTCATCTGACATCGAGTGGCTTGTCGGATTGAGATTGTGAGTATCTCAACTCTCCCGTGATTGCAAGATTCCAGGCTCGTGGCAGGATTTCAGTGGCAGCCTTCGACGGACGGGCGTTATTTGATTCGATGTATTAAGAGCCGTGAAAATCTGATGGAGGCGTTTGTTAACTCGACGCTCAAGGCTGACTCATCCTAGAATGCGTGCATGAAGTGAAAAGTTTGCAAATGTCAGGATGTTGGAAGGGACCGTACCGTGGGCGTGGCTACTGAGATGCCACTGTTCAAAACCATCCCGTGGCCTTGCGAAACTCCCAGACGGCCCTTTGCTGCGAAGTGGGTCCGTCCCCTCAAACTCAACTTACACCGACCCCCAAAGCATCCCGTATGAAGGTTGTGCCCGGCCCTCCGATTACTGCCCGCATGTGTTGGCTTTTGGCTTCCTTTCCTGCCCACATATCTCCTCGTGGCCCCTTTGTTGCTTGTGGATAGTAAGTCAAACAAAGCAGAACGGCTCAGGATTTGCGTCAGGCGTTCAGGACCGATGACCATTCAATTGCGCCCATCAAACGTCATGCATGGTATCAAACCCAGCTACGGCGTCGTCCATTGGCTGGGTAGCGATCTTGAATCGTCTTCATCCTGAGATTCCTCGCCCATCAAGAACCAAATAGGTATTGCGCCATGGAGAACCTTTGGGTGGCCAATCGTTGAAGCTAGCCTCATGTAATGAGCAGGTCACGCAACAAGAGAACGCAAACTCGGGGGAGGTTCGTCAGGGAGGGATCTACTCGATATCACCTATCGTCGAAAGACTGTATACCACGTTCAGTCACTCTCTTCCAAGAATTCGGCGTTCTCGACCACGTTCTCGCCGTCTGCTATCTAAGACAAAAGGCCGTGAAGTGCCTAGAGTCTGAAATGCCGAACAACCAAGTGTCAAGGAAGACCAAAAGGTTGTCAATTCCAAGTTCGAACCCCAGGGAATTCCATGGGTGACAATCAAGCCGACTACTCTGAGCTCAAACTCTGTGGATCCATATTCGGTGACAAGGGTTTGCTGTTTCCACGTGTTGTTATCAAAGCGGTCGTATCCTCTCTCTCGTCGATCCAATCCTGCTCGCCCACGTTCCTATTAATGCCGAGATGTTAGCTTGCGCATCAAATCCCATTTTCTATGAGCCAATCCTTGCTAGCAAAAGACAAAGTCTGGTCTTATGATGTGTTGAATTGGAAGTCAGGATGAGTGCAAAACGGTGTTCTGATGAGAGAGAGTTGTTTCGTTGTTGGAGATAAGCGGAAAAGGGTATCGCTAAAGCTGTGCTGAAATTGTGTGAACGGGGAAAGGCGGATGGAGATGTTTTGAGTTCGAGTATCGAAGGGAAGAGTTTTCGAAAAGTGTTGAAGCGAGATTTGAAATGAGGCCAAAGATCTCTTGCCCATGCATGTTGGATGGTTCCTCACAAGAAGTGCTGTAAAAGTGTCCTGAGAAAAGGAAGGGGAAGACAAATGGAAAGTGGTGAAGGGAGGAGTGCTGAGAGTGAGCATTGCTGACTGAATGCGGTTGAAGGAACGCTGCGAAAAAGGGGTTCGTGAGAAGTGACCAGTGTTGGCAATAGGTGCCGGGTGAAAAAAAGGTGACCCGAAAGGCGAGCGCAGAGAAAAGGGAAGTGCTGAGACCTGCATCAGAGGTAGTTCTCTCGATCAGCCTCCATTGTTTAACATCGTCGTCAATGGAGGCTCGGAAGCCTTGCGATAACAACGTTTTCATAACCATATAATACGGTTCGCGTCAGGAAGTATGAAAGGGGATCGCTGATGCTCTCACGAGGAAATTTGGATGACTGCTGTTGAGAATAATCCAAGGAGGGCAAGGAGTGCGTTAATAAATAGGAACCTCACGAGAGCATGAACTCAAGCCTATGGGCCGGCAGCACATCCGGTCAGGGAGAGCTGAGATGAACATCTTTAGATCTTGGGTGCTGAAGCTTTGGAGTTCTGAAGGCCTGGAGGTGAAGGTTCGGAGATCAAAGTCTGAGGGTCGAGGTCTGAAAATGAAGTTCTAACGCTTGAAGCAGTGAAGGTGAAGGTGAGAAGGTTGGGGTTCGAATATCAAGGTCTGAAGATGAAGGGTTCAGGATCTGAAGTTCCGAATGTCTGAAACCGAGGTCTGGAGATGAACGTCTGGAGTTGAACGTCTGGAGATGAACGTCTGGAAATGAACGTCTGGAGTTGAATCTCAGGATCTGAAGATCAAGGGCCGGCGGAGGACGGCGGAACAGAACAAGCAATGGGAGGCCGTTGGGTAACCACTAACGTATGAGGGCGGATAGACGGTGAAGTCACGAAGATGATGTCCTGAAGATGGGCGGTAGAGGGGAGGAGCTAATGAGAAAGCTCCGATGAGAAAGTTAATGAGGCTAAAGATTTGAGGTGGGTGACCAGGAGGGGATGCGCTGATGGAGGCCTTGGGCGAGAAAACCTAACGGTGGGAAAACACCGAAACCTAATGGGGATGCGATTCTGGAGTTGGGGTTGGATTAGCGAGCTCCGGGGTCAACGATATGCGGCTCATTGCATTCAAGTGCCAATGTTCGACGGAGTTGCGGTACAGCATACAAATGTCAATTGTTCCAGCTGTCATTGGAACATTCATAAGGAGATCAATTGACTCTTGGAAAATCTTCAACACATTGATTCCGACAGCGTTCTCCAAGGCCAATAGAATCAGTCTATCGACAAGATCATCCCCGATAACATGCGCAATCAATGGGGTGGCTACAACAGAATTCTCACAGGGTTTTTGGCTCCAAGCTCGTGTCAAGGACTGACGCGGTGCAGGAAACACTCTCTCTTGTAAGGCGAAGAGGTGCTGAAGAGAACAGGATTCCTCATAACCAAAGCCGGATATACGGTTTGATCTGGAAACAGGCAGCGTAATTTCTGGAGCTTACGAGCTTGAGCGAAACCCATGTCTTCTTCTGGACGTTGATAACTTTACCAAAAACGTTGCCGATGCCGTCTTGGAATCACCAGACCACCACCTCATTCCAACTACAGTTACCCAGGAATGACGGATGATCTTGAGAGACATGGATGCGGGGCTGCTTGGCGTGATCGTTGACAGCGTGGTAAAGGCGTACGAATTGCCGCTTCTCATCTTGGGAGGGGAAAGGTAGAGAGATACAGGTGCTCGCAATTGACAATACAAGTTATCCGGTCTTGGATAACCCGCTCGTCCTCATCCGATCTTCCGCTCGTTGGTTCATCGTCGTACTCTAGATCAGAGGATATGGCTAGCAGGAAGGACTGGACGAGTCATTGACCAGACCCATCTACCTCCGTCTACGATATTCCGAGCAAACCCCAGTCCCAGGACATCCAAGTTGCTGTTTTTCCCGCCAGCCATGTTCGGTATGGAGCGTATGGGTCCTCGATCTAAATTTGTAGCTTGCTCGAGGTTGTTCTTCGTTCTGGGCTTCAGGGAGAGAAGGAAGGCAAGAATTGGGGGCGGCTGGAGTCGAACTAGCTCAGTACCATTATCAAAACCACAGCGGCTTTCGGATCCGCCTGCCTTTCGGTGGCACCCTTCCAGTATGCTGTGAATAGTGTATCTAGCGAGCTCTACCGTTAAGCTCCACTCCCTGGTCCTGCATTCCCATCCTGTATGTGTTTTCAATCAACCTTCCCTGAATCCGCAGATTGGTAATTCGAATATGTAGACGCAGGTCAGAGGAGACCGTGGATCGATATTTCTAGAGGATGCAGCGGCATATCTATCAGGGTGTTCGAATCGTGGTAGCGGGGATTCGTTTCCTTGCAAGAACGGAGGGTATTATCTATTGAAAACTGAACCATTAGCCTTGGCAGACGACAGGAAATGTGGATAGAAGAGGGGAGAATACTCGATGTCTTCCAAAATGAAAGATAAACAGACGGCAGCAAGGTATCGCTGATAATTCATCAACGCGTGAACGAACACGAACCGGGGAATAGCCAACAAGCTATTGTGCTCCCGGACAGATGGATCAGGACACCCGATTAACAGAGGTTTTCGGCGAAGTGCAACCTTTCCATCCACAACGCAATTCCGGGGAGAGGTGAAGTGTCTCGGCGCATTGTGCAGTCAGCTATTGCAACGACAGGGAGGGGGTCCAGGGACAGCAAGGCAGGACTGAATTGTTGCGAGTGTTGTGCGAGCTTCCAGAGCAGGCGGTAGACACAGCTCCAAATCCCGAAGACTCCTGGCCTTGCGAGTAGCAACGAAGTGTCTGCAGAGCTCGACGACGTCCATGCAAAACGGCTCTAGATCGTGTTGAAAGATCTGTGATAAGGAGTCTACCATTCAATTCCGGAGAGCAGAGGCTTGAAAGAGAACGCGAAGGTTGGTCCGACAGGATATGCAGTCTGTGCTTGTACCACCTCGCCATCCACTCGCGAATCTTCGGTCTCGAGGTGTACAATTCGAACCTTGGCCGGTCTGCGGCTTCTCTTTGTTTCAGCTACACGCTCGGCGTGGTAGACCGCATTTGTCGAATCAAAGGGGGGCCCGTCATCGAGAGAGATCCGAATTTGCTTGAAAGACATCCATTACTACCTTTCAAGGGTTTTTGGAACCAAACCCCGTTGGAATGGAACAGCTGCTCCTCTACAGATAGGTTCCCCATCCACCGAGCCGCGTTTTTCAGTACACCGTGGGTATTGTTATCGTTGTGGCTGCAGAACCGGCCTTTATAAGCCGCGACTCGGTGGTCGAGGACGCTGGTTCGACTTGTCCAACTGCCTCCTGGAAAGATGTTTCGGCCCAGAAAGGAAGAAACTGCGAAGATTTGTTATTCCCAAGCAATGTGTACCCCGCAAGACTCCAATGCACGGATGAAGTCATAAGAGAGCTTGCACGGTATTATTGTCTCGCAGGGTATGCATTCGCTTTAATTTGACGAACGTCGAAGCGGGAAGGATTGAGGAGCGGATTTCGGTGTGATCGAGTGCATGCCTGTACGCTTTGAGTTAGCATGCGGGCCTGAAGCGTGTTTGTGAGGTTACTCACGATCCTCCCTGACACTTCCATCCCAGCAATATCAATATTACATCCAGCCACCCGCCCCTATCTTCTCCCAATCACCATAAACATCCTCAAGCCGCTCGAGCCTCCGCAGAGTTGTCCCAGCCCAGTTCGATGCATCTTGCTTAATGCTGCGATCTGCCACCTTAACTGCTTCCAGAACTGCCATTCAATTTATCCAAAATGCATGCCCACAGCATAATTTGCAAGCTCCGTGCGTGATTCTCAGTTATTCTCTCCTCGCAACCCTGCAGAGCCTTCGCTCCTGTCTCTCTGAATATCAGTGAAGTCTCTGGGGATATAAAGATGGATTCGTCACTTTGTCGAGCGTCTTTTCGAAAGTAGGCGTCGATTCCCTTTGCAAATCGAGGCTGTCGTCGTTAACTTTACTGCATCAAGTTCTTCCCCTTCCTTCGTCTCCGTATCGAATGTATCGGCGAACTGCGAGCATCGTTTGTAACCAGCAGACAGACATCGACCCCACCAACTCCCAATCAACCCCAATCGAGCCCCGCCCCTTATTATGTAGCTTGCATTTCCTTGCTACGTATGCCATGGTAACATCTGGCTCCGTCGATCATGCGTTGCGGCTGTGAGGCATTAGTGGAAAGGCAAACCATCCGGTGAGCCCGATCTCTCGCGCATGGCGCCGCTGCACTGGCAACTGTCCTCCAGTCTCGGGTGATCTGCGAGTGCGTCGCCCACTAGCTGTGTAATGCCGCAGCCCATCATCCCAAGTCCTCAAGTTGTGTCTTCGTCGCGGCAAGCAGCTTCGTGTTTCTCGGTGGTTCGACCCGTGGAGGCAAAGAGAGGAAGGTCAAAGAACTACGACTATGTTAGATCTTCACATTTTTATTTCACACATTCCATGTCTGGTGTACCTGTCATTCTGTTCGGTGCGGAGCATCTTCGCTATTGGGATGAGGCGTGCTGTTGACTTTTACGGTTGCGAGAGAGTTCAAGGCGAAAAAACGGAGAGTTCCGAGTGCACAAAGTCATCAAATTCATCATCAAATTCATCATAAAAGCCACCATCAAAACAAAACGCCGCAGTCCCAAAGTCTCAAGGCTATTTTGCCCCATTTCATATGCCCAATTCCCATCATTTTGCGCCATCATGTGCTCGTCCATTCTGCAGTGGCGCACCCAAACACCTGTCAATGCAATGTCATCTTCCAGTCCCAAAGTCTCATCTCAACCACCCCGCTGAGAAATGCAACATGATCAAACCACCCATACTCTACTCCCTCCACTCCAGCTGTTGTCTCAGCCCCATATGTGACGATCCATGTGTCCATTTGGAGACCACAGCTCCGGCTTTTACCACTTGAATTTGACATCGTAATATTGTGAGAACCATGGAGTTGGTCCACTTGAGCGCCAATGCCGTTTGCCAGACCGCAGCTCCTTCCAGGAGAGATCGTCCCAAGAGTAGTATTGAGCGGTGGTGGCATTTGGTGGGATTAAGGCCTCTTCGCCCTTTACGCAGGCTGTGATTTGAGCTTGCATTCTGACCTCGGCGCTGGTTGTTGATTCCGAGCTGTTGTCAATGAGCTGATCTTGATCGATGTCGTTTGTCAACCCTTCGTGGCCCTGTCCGATTACGTCGTCGTCTTCTTTTGTCTTCGTGTTTCTCTTTCCCTTGGCAAGCCCAGTTGCCTTCTTCCAAATTTTCTTCACTTTCATCCCTGTCTCGCGGACAGCAATCTGAATTCTTCGAAGTCTGGTTGGCTCGGAAACATCCAAATTATCTTGTTGTTCCGGAGGTCCAGAGGCATTGACAATCTCTTCTGATGCACGAGGTCCAATCGGTGACGCAGCGCGAGACTCAATGTAATGCGTTCCCTCCTTTCTGGTCTCCCATCTGGCAATATCCCTCATGCCTGAATGGCCATTTGAAGCCGCTCCCATCCATGAAAGTTCAAACCGAAGACGGTGCTTGGGACAGCAAGTTCGATGTCTCCGGTCGTCCCACTTGATGAAACCACGGGGGTCATAAGAGCGGATTGCTGTCGCCGGGATTTCTTGATATTCGTGTTGCTGCGGGCCCACTCCTTGGGTGTATAGGAAGTCCCTGATCGACACTTGGTGCTCGTCCGCTGGCTCGTCGTCTCCCACATCCCCACCAGCGCTGCCACTCGCATCAAACTCATCCTCACGCCATTTCTCCGGTGTCCATGGATAATCTGTCTCGGTGTTGCTCGCAGCTTCGTTATTTGAAGGTTCGTTGTTTGAAGGTTCGTTGCTTGTGCCTTCGATGCTTGTAGCTTTGGTGCTTGTGGCTTGGTTGGTTGTAGCTTCAGTTTCAGTCCTGGTATCGCTGCCAACTGTGAGAGCTTGCGCGTCACTGAAATCTACCTCCCCTCTTCTACCTCCAGGCCGTGTCCATGCTTTGACAGAACTGTCCGTGTAGACGGCTACGCGAAAGATGTGATTTTTCTCAACAAAGTCGAAACTGCGCATCATCGCTTCCAGTGGCCTCATGTCCTCAATCCTCTCCAAGTCCCTTCTTTGTTTGCAATACTGGAAGAACCGCCGGAAGTCGCTATCCACTTTCTCCCCGGAATTGGAGTTGTATTCGAGGAAGTTGTGGGGCGCGAGTGGCTCATCACAACAGTAAATGGGTAGGCGCTCCATTTTCTGTTGTGTTTGGGAGTGTATGGCCATATTTTGAGGAGGGAAAGGTCACTAATATATACGATTAAGACGAATCCATAACAAAGACATGCATCACCTCCTGCGAATGTTCCGGCGCCTGCGCCAATGCACACGTTGCGCATATTTCTTTGCTCCTGAATAATGAATATTGAGCTCGGAAACAAGCACTTGCTAGATTTTGGAACCTTTCATTTAGGACCGTTTTGTAAAATAGATTTATTAGGGGCTCACACATTATTCCTCTTTATTACTAGAATTAAAATTCTAAGCTCATAAGATTCTGGTATTGCAAAGTGCATTCTTATATTTGTGTAATAACTAGCTAGTACTTAGACTATTAAAAAGTAAAGGTATTATAATATTATAAAAAGAAATTAATTATTAAATAGTAGCAAAAAAAAATATTTATCAAGCTACCGGGAAGCGGATTCTTACGTACATGGGACTTAATTTAAGTAGGTACTTCTTTGGATTTTTGGATTTTTGGATCTTGATCGGTTTACTGTTTTTGGATTTTTCTTAGTCTCGGTAGATGCTCTTGCAGGTTAACTGCCTGCGCAGGTGGCGAAAGTAAACTTTGCCAGAGAGAAAATCCTCACTAGCTGCTGCTAGCGAGAGCCAAATTTCAACGGGATGAGAAATGGGCCCAAGACTAGGAAACGTTAGTAACGCGCAATTTGATAGGTTAGAGAGGGCTTAGGGGCCCCGGTAGCTTGACGATTTAACGAAAAATCCACTATTTCGATATATGTGCTACAAAATTAAAGTGAATCTGCATTTACGTCATTCTCCGCTCGCATAGCCTGCTCGAGTACTTCCTTTTGATCTCCCCCCCTCGATACTAGTTTATGGATTATTTAAAACCGAGAGGCTTATATCACTAACTTATACTACATGTTAATCTTAATCTTATCTCCTACTATGTGTTATTCCTCTCACCTTGACCTGCGGCCTGGACCTACCCTTGTTCGCTTGAAAAAGGTGCGATTCGAGCTATTTACATGTCACTCGTGGCTTGCCTTAATTCGGGAATCCATGATTGTAACTCTTGCTTCTTAATGTCTCGGATATAGGAAAGAGGGCCCTCAATAAAGACCATGTTCAGTATCCATTTATTAGATAGCTGCCGTTAAAACCACGCTCTCGAAAAGCGGGCAATAAATGGATATGCATGCCTCTTATCCTATTTCGGGCTATATCTTTACCACAAACCCGTCTTGCCCTTTAGTTCTGGCATTCCTCTGAAAGAAAATCGCGAATAACTCGCTCCGGAGCTCGGACTATACAAGGCGCAAACCTCTGCTAGGCCAATCATGGGTATGTTTCTTCTTCTACCCCGTTGCACCCTAGTGCATTGTCCCTTCTGACAACGTTCAAACGCGAGCGTATTGTGCTGCCAGTCGATGGTTGGATTGTGCTTTCGTATCCGTAGCATTCCTACGATGAGGTTATGCTCCCCTGTGTTAGTGACATCAAATTGTATCTGTTTGATGTGTCCCTAGATAATCCCAAAGAACATAACATGTGTCTAGATATTAATGATACCTATCCCCCTATCGATGGTTTCCCCGTTAACCACGGTCAACGTATAGGGTTCCTTCTTAACTTCCGTTCCCAAATTGAGCTAAGTAATCACTCGTCGTGATATGAAGTTTCCTTTCCTATAGCTCCTAAGTCGATTATGGCCATCAAGTCGTGGACTTTTAGTCTGACGGGGATAATCAGCTGCTCTCCGCCTGTCGTGGCCGCCAGCTGTTCCTGATCGCTTTTGTACTCCCATAGCACGTTCAGCCATTGGCGAGTTACTTCTGTTTCTTGGATGAAGACTTCCTTGAGTCTGTAGACTTGTCCAACGGCGAATCCCTCCGTACTTCCTAGTTTGTGTATTTCTCGGAAGTGTTTTTCATCGTTTTCCGTGTGCCTCCAGAGACGCTCCTAGGTCTCTGGGCCACTAGTTCCCTTGTTTCATTGGTTTGAGGAAATTCGGGTTTAAATACTAGCTCAGGCTGAAGGTAGTATACCATGTGCTTGTTTCAACCGCGAAATCCAAAAGGGCAATTTACGCCAACCCGAGTCGTTAGCATGCCAGGCACGATGGGACGTATAGAGTTCCGAGAAGGTGAAAGCTTGACTTAATTAAATTGTCTAATTTTTATAGTACAAAACTCTATATATAGACTTTAGAATCTATATCCAACAAAGTCTCTGCACATTTAGGAATCCAAAGAAGATACAAAAGTGCCGGGGTACTTTCCTTCTCTTTTACAGGGTTGGTATGATTGCCGAGAGAATGTGTTATCACAGCATGGTCAGCGTAGAGTTTCAGTCTCACCCGAGATGTTCACCATGCCTCCTCCAGGTTTTGTTCTGCTCCAAGCTCAATCTTATAATAGCAATAAAACGACACTAGGCTAGTCCATGACATAATTTGGAGAACATGGCCTCGTTCATCGGGAAACTTCTGCCAAAGTCACCCTCGGAAGTATCGGCGGAGAGCGAGGGCCTCGCAAGCAGTGCGAACCCCAGCCTTGCACAGAGACCAAACATCTCCAGAAGTGTTGTCGCCAGCCAACCATCTTTGTTGACTACTCAAGGGCCACAAGATGGATCATCCCCGAGACAACAAGAAGCCGTACCCTCGGACCCGCGAGCCCTACCCACAGAACGGTACGGCCTCTTTGTCTTCAAAGACCAACTGGAAAACGCACCCGGAATCGTGGACATAGTAGCTCTGCATGGTTTAAGTGGCCACTATCGACAAACATGGACCTCCACAGTCACCGGGGCCAACTGGCTCGAGCACGAAGGCTTTCTGCCCAATCAGATCCCCAATGCACGGATTATGTCTTACGGCCACAACTCGAAATTGGAGTTGAGTAAATCCAATGCTGGGATTGGCGCGTTCGCAGAAGGGCTTCTCGCGCAACTCCAAGGCAGGAGAAGAAGAGGCCGATCATATTTGTCCGCCATAGTCTGGGGGCATCGTAGCTAAAGAGGTATGAACACGAGGGCGGAAACTGAGTTGGCTTCTGTGGATGAATAACCCCAACTCTCGTTTGGCGTCAGGCTCTCATCGTTGCGAACGAGCAAGACAAATACTCGGAACTCTTGAAGAAGGTTCATGGTATTGCTTTTATGGGCACTCCCCACCAACGTTCTCGGCCCGCAAATTGGGCGACGATGATAGGTCATATTGTCAGCTTCGCCCAATTTGGGGCGAACACCAATACTAGTCTTCCCAATTCCTTGAAAGTCTCAGCACCTATATTGTTTGAGATTTCAAAGTCGTTTGCAGATCGATCTGGGCTGGCTATCTTGAGTTTTTACGAGTTGGACAATTTGCCCGGTGTCGGATTCGGGGTAGGGTTTCTCGAGCGGGCTTCGCTTGAAGGCATTAGAGCAGATTTCGGATGTTGACGTTTTAAATCGGTTTCAGGATTTGCCTTCTTGGGCAACAGACTAGAGCATAGCAAAATCTCCTAAGAAGTCGCTCCGATTTGGTCTAATAATGACGACGACACGAAACAGTCTAAAGCAATTCCATGTTTTACTCTGGGGACACAAATACCAATGCGACTTATTTTGCCAAGATGGCGGATTCGAACTCTCCCACAGCTGAATGGTATCCTGTCATATGTCGAATGTGGTGAAACCAGTAAGGCATTACCCAAAGTATCGTCTCAAGATCTTCGACAGATACAGAAAACGGAGGTTTTTATACCGAACAAGCCACTATTCAAACTGAACACCTAGCCAAACAACTTCTGACTCTGATAAAGTGTGTCCCTCACATAATCCATGGCAGTAGCACTCGCCCACAAAAGTGAAAGTCGTCTTGCCGATGCCTTCATCCGGGCTTAATATGTAAGGAATTCTCCCACCAGCGAAAAGAAAAACCGAGTCGCCTTCCCGAATGCTCTACGACCTAATGCCATAACGTTTATGTGGCCTCATTCCTCCCGGCTACGCCTTGCTGGGGCCGCTGCCTCACTTGTACTCGAGTAAGTATTGGTCAAACTGTGCCGGGGTCAACACCTAATCGCCCGGACGCCCGATTACTAAATTTAGACATTGCCTTGCCCACTGCTACCCTGACCCCCGCCGTGCATGTGCACGTTCAACCCCTCCAGTGCCCCACACCCTTCTGTAGTAGTAGATTTCTACTGGTCGTGCCGTAACCGCCTTCCTTTTTCCAAGATATATCCAAGACTGGTACAAATCTACTGGTAATACCGAAGCCGCCTTTCCTTCTTCCTAGATATTTCCAAGACCAGTAGAAATCTACTAGTCATACCGAAACGCCTTTCCTTCTTTCTAAAAGATGGGAACTCCAAGGGGCAGGAAAATCATGTGACCGAGAGTTGCACTTTTCAACTGGCCCGGCAAAGGATATAAGGCCGTTACTTAGGTACGTCGGTAATAAATTTTGAAGCTTTACTCAATGCATCATCACGTGAGAAATAAAATCAATCTTTGTTGCATATCCGCATCCCGAGCAGCTGGCACGCTGTTGATGAATGTGAGCAATCAATCAATCTCTTACACTCGTCGTCAACAATGCGAATGCGCCAAGGCTCTTGCCTGGCCATCACTCACTCGAGCGGGTGCCATGAGCCATGAGCCATGAGCCATGAGCCATGCCACTTCGCCTTCGTCGGGTGTATGGCAAACAAAAGACTGGCCAGCAATGATCATGAGTATGAGGCTGAACAGCATCATTGTCATTATCGAGCACAAGTTTCCTGACGTGGGGTGCTCTCATTTGCTGGCAGAGCCCGCTAGCTCACCAGTGCCTGATTGGCCGCCCCCCGTGTGTGCGCAGCGGCGCTGCCACCTGCTACGCATTTTTGGTAGGACATCAAGCCTCAGCGGCGACGAGAGCAACTATTCCTTAACCACTCCTCAACCACCATCTTGGCCAGGCTGTGTACTCGCTCTAGTAGTTCATAGTTTGCCTAAGCCAGAGCCTTAGGTCGTCTCGCGGTCTACATTCCTGAGGCACAGCAGCCTCGCAACTTAAGCTAGGTATTGCGGGAGGTGGAGCGACGTGGAGCGAACGACCTAACCAAGTCCTGTTTCCGATAAACTCGACCAAGAAATTCATGGTAGCCGATATCGTTTCCCAAGCAATTCAATTTATCCTATGGATTACCACTGCTTCTTCAGACGCGACGAGGATGCGTGGTGGAAGAAATCGGGTGATGGCAGAGACGTGTTCGACCCTCAGCTCTGTCATTATGTCGTCTTTCGACGCAACACAGTAAGCCTTCCCTTACGCTCATGATGATTTGATCGGCTCACGCAATATAATTCAGAGAGGCTCGAAAGTTGACATTGAGGAGCGAGAGTTGGACGGGGCAAATCTTGTCACATCGCTGGAAAACGTCGATACTCCAGAGCCACATGAGCAGCTCCGACTAATGTAAGAACTAGGCTGCCGTCATGGCTTGGGTGGCATGAGAAACTTACAGCTTGTTCAACTATAGATTACCTCCTCCGCGGAGACCTTTAGATCAAGACGGGGCCTACCGTAAAGACGCTACTTTGCCATTCACCAAAGATGGTTTTCATCAACTCCTTGAAATGTTCCAATTCCATAGAGGGTATTTCGAGGGTTCTCATCCTTCTCAGCTAGCCAGACTACGTACCTCTGGGAAGACAACGTGTAAGAAGTCCCGAAAACAGATAAGATCCCCTCTAACCGATCAAGCGATCTATTTCTCAACCCTCAGTAGCATAGGGACGCCCAACTCAATCGCAAAGATGAAATTGTTTATGGCTTTCGACGAAACGAAGCGAGCTACAACAGTACTTTTACATAATCTAATGCCTGAGCAGCTCCAATCTGTTCAAGAAAGCATCAAGGACGAGGCATTACAGCTATTGTTTATTCATCCAATGCTTGTCCCAACGCTTGTGATGGACATTCTCTTCACAGAAATCGTCGAGAAAGCACAGGTTTTATACGAGGAATGGCGACAAGCGATCAAAAAGGGCGCTCTAGTAGAGGGCCTCTATATGACATCGGAGTTCGAGAATATTGACATCAAGCAAGAGGCTTCAGCAGCTCATCGCTCTAGTTTCAAGATATCGTGGATACAAGAGGTTCTAGAGATTGCCATTGACAGCGGAAACAAACTTAGGATCTGGACTACAGAATTCCACCACGTCAAGTTGAGCGATGAAGAGGCCGATGAATTCTACGCGGCCGAGCAGATCATCTGCAATCGTCTGGAATACCTCGTTGATCGATTGCATATCCAACTTACGTGGATTAAGAGGTTCCAAAGAGACATGCAGGCTCACAGGCAGGCAGTGAGCAACCCGTACCCCTACTGCTCTGTGACGTATGTGCTTACTACTCTCCTACCAAGCTCGAGGTCGGCACCGCAACTCTAGGCAACAAGCTTTCCCTGGAGATTGCAAGAGAAAGCAAGCGCGATGCGTCAGCCATGAAAGCTATTGCTGTACTTACCATGTTTTTCCTGCCTGGAACTTTGGTAGCGGTGCGATAAGAGCCCCAAACCGCTTCCATATAGCATGAACTAATATCCTTCCCCAGTCACTCTTTGCAATGCCGCTTTTCAATTGGGAGGCGCCGACTCTGCGAGAGGTACTAAACCAGAGATTTTGGATCTATTGGGCCGTCGCCATCCCAGCAACTATTCTAGTCTTGATGACGTGGCGGATCTGGTACAAGTTCCAGGAATGGCAGAAAGGGAACAGAACTGGGAATAACTTTGTTGCTGGTTTTAGGCTATGGCTCATGTCCGGACGAGAAAAGAGCGTTGACGGGATTGGAGATGATGAGAAGGGTGATGCTGGTTAGATTTTTAGATTGTGGCTCGAGTGGCGTCCGTACATTGAATTTTTTATTAAAAGTTAGCTCTTATAATGCTTTCCGGGATGACTCGACCGAGAATAAGCAACCACATTTCTTAGAAGCCTTGGTCTTATATTCCCGCAACATTTCTACGCCAAAGTGAAGGAAGACGTCAGGATTGGATTGATAGAGTAGTGATTTTATATGTTTATCTTTACTCGAAAGTCAAAGGAGTTGTGAAAATCGGACTACTATAATATTAAAGGGATTCTGTTATATATATGAGTTTAGGTCTAATAGGGTGGATTCCGCCCGCGGTTATTAAAAGTCTTAGACCAATTGTGCCTGCGCTAATGTTACCCTAACTACTATTAGGCAAGATGAAAGCAGGGAGTTGCCGTAATATTGGTGGAGCTGTGGTTGCATACGGGCATTTAGACCCTTGAGGCACTTCATGGTACATATTATAGAACCACCAATGCATAACGATGACCATCGTCGGGAAAATAGAAGCCAAGTCAGAGCTCCTAGATTTCCAAGCACGTCGACTGCTAGAGGAGAGTTTCAAAGACACCGAGAACCAAGTGCGCACACTGGTTGCTGATTTGGTTGAGGGTATGTGGGCGCAACGACGCTGTGTGATTGGGATAAAACTACGCATTCAGCAATACGGACAGAAGGAGGAGATGGTTGTGGACCACGGCTCCAGCTCTAATAGAGGACCAGAACGCACGTAGAGAGAAGAATAGCAGATAAGGGAATGGTTCCAAGTCTTGACGAGAGTCTCCTCCCAAACTAGAGTAGAATCATGCGGTCTTTAATACATATAAAAATCCAGCTCTTCAACATTGAGAGCCTTGATTGCATGTACTGAACCTTCAGCCAAATCGCGCGCCGTACGTCCATTATAGTCCTCTGTCGTTATTACTGACCATCTGTCAACCAAGAGTTTGGTTGCCGCTCTGTATCCCAAGCAGGCAGAACGGTGTAATGGTATCTGGCCAAGCTTATCCACCAACCCTACTTCAGCTCTATGGTCAATCAGCACGTTGATTATCCCTCGATGGCCTTGATCAGCTACCAGATGGAACGCCATACTTCCTTCCAAGTCCTGAGCAGATATTACAGCTCCTTAATCCGAAAGTACAGCTACTATCTCAGGAGACTTACTCAGCACTGCCAAGCATAAGAACGTCTGCCCCTTCTTATTAATAGGAGATATATCCCCCCCGTATAAGAGAAGATCATTTGCTGCCTTTGCATGCCTGCTTGCCGATGCAAAATTCAATGCCGTTCGTTCATGCTCGTCCTGTTCCGATAAAGAGGCACCATGTTCCAGTAGCAGACATGTGGTCTCCCGCTGGCCATTCTGCGCAGCTTGTAACAGGGGCGTCGTATCGAAAAGGCCTCGTTGAGAATGCTGGATCCCGTTCTCTAATAGCCGTCTGAGCTTCTTTGTATCTTTATTTGCCGCGGCCTGGCATACAAGTCGCTTGCAATCGCACACACACAAGTTCTACTGCAAAAAAAATGCAGGGTTTCCTCAATGTCAAGGAATCTTAATAGCCGCCCAAGCGCGCTTTGAAGCTTGTATCCCAACTATCCAAGGAATGTTTTAATTTGCCAAAAGGTTTCAAGGAAATTATTTCCCGGTTACTTTAATAATGGCATTAAATCCGTTATTAATACTTTTATTATTTTTAGAAATATAAAAGAAATTAAAAGGAAATTTAAAAAGCAAATTTCATAAATAATACTTGACTAAATAAATAACTAAAACTAATAATAATTTTATAAATAATAATTCTTTATTAATTTAAAGAAATCCTCCAGTGAGTTCTACTGTCCCTGAAAGCAGGAACTGAGCCTAAGGTCTCACAGTCACATGATTCGTAACACCTTTCCTGATAGGCCCTTGATTTAGACCTGATATTATTGAACCTGGCGTTTTAATCAGAAGGCCCCACATGAGTTAGTACCAATTCCACCTTGGATTGACATGGACCGGATGGCAGATTCCTGGCTAGCAGAGAAAGGGGACATGATACCCGCGGACAGAGTATAGTCTTGATGGGAGTCGTAAACCTGGAAAGCAATTGCGTTCTCGAAATCGAACGCAAAGTTGAAAAGACCGAGGTAGCAATTGACCGACTTGTAAATGTCGCCAAACTCAATGGCGTCGGAGGTCGACCCCCAGGACCATTCGGTGGACGTCGAGCTCTCCACGGATTGGGCCGCGAAATCAATGCCACCCGTACTGAAGTAGAAGTTGTTGTCGGTGACTTGACTCTGTCGGCGCTCTTTGTTATTTGGCGGGAAGCCGCCATCACCAAGGCCGAGCTTAAAGGAATCCTTGCCCTCAGCATCACGTCCCATATACGTGAAGTGGAAATCTTGGCCACCGCTCTTGACTCCAAACACCTCCCGGGGCACAGCAGGCCCAGAGTCTCGCTTCTGATGAGTCTCGATCCCATCCCACGTCCCGAGATGCCGAACCTCGGTGTTGAGTCCATCCGACAAGTCACGAGCCCTATAGCAGTCCAGCGTTAGTAAGTTTCTTTTCTTTCTTTTTTCGAAGACAGCAACTAGCAGGTCAACTTACATAATACTAGCCCACTCATCCCGCTTATTGATTCCCGGGACGTGCCAGCCGTTGTTTCTCAGCGCGGTCGCAAGCTGGCCGCGCCATATGGCTCCCTGATAAGCAAGGGTCGCAACCGCGATAACTTGAGCAATAGCGCCAAAAACGCATTGGAAGCCATTCCCAGTTTGTTGAGTAAATTGCTGGCAAGACGAGATTAGGCCGAACCAGGTCACTGGGGCGTTGGCGACGGCGTAGATCTTCAGCCCCATAAAAAGATATCTTGCGAAATCACCCGGGTCGTCTCGGGTTGCCACATCGCCGCGGGGCCGAATTGCCAAGTCCCTGCTTTTACTGCTGCTCCTCCACTCCGCTACAGCAGCTTTGGCCTGGTCAGCATGTGGATTGGACTACAAGTGGACATATGAGATGAGCAGGGAGATTCAACATACTTATGTTAGGCCACTCAGCTGGGAGCTCTGGTAGATATTTATCGTATTGAATACTCGAACGCTTCTGTAGTGCTCTATCTGGGGCTTCCAGGTTTCGTGTGGCAAACGTAGATTTCAAATCAGTGCCTAAGCTCCTTGGTTCTGGTGCCTTTGTCCCGAGAACTAAAGCTAGCCCCGGGATAGCGACTGAGCTAAGGAAAAATATATGAGAAATCTTCATATTGGACGAAATTGTTGTTGGAATGGCTCAAAGGTAGGGGTTGCTCGAAGGAGACACGCCTCTCTGGCTTGATGAAGCTGTTGTTGAGATGGAACTTTGAATTCTAATTCATTCGAAAACACAGGCTTCTTATAGCAGGCTACGATGCGCAGTTTGTTTGACACCTGTGAAACCAGAGTCCATTGGCCCCTCCAGGAGACAGAGGAGTAGCCCCCAAATGCAGTAAAGATGCACTGTTTCTAAATGGGTATATCTTCATTGCCTGGTAAATCTCTCGTGCGAATGGGCTGTGTCATTAGTTTCTTTATAAATCTGGCTAATTACATATAAATACCATCTTGCGATCCACATCGGGAGCTGAATATTAGGTAACACTTGTCAAAATCTTAAAAATACGTGTTACGATTGTTGATATTTACTTTGGTCAATTCTCATTGGTCTTCCATGAGCAACTTTGTCGAGTCGTATAGCTTTTAGGATTCATTCAGGATTCCGAGGCTTTTCTCTGTCTAATGCGGCACAGGACATAAATGTGGCTGTGGTAGTCCTGTTAGTTCCGAGCTGGCCAATTGAAAGCCCCCCGCCCCAAGGGGCCGTGCTTATTTATAACAGAGTTTAAGGCGCGGCGCTTATTTTTGGAGAGTGCTTCTTTGAGTCAACTATCTTATTAGGAAAGAGTCCTCACGCAGGCCGTTTATTTTGAGGCTGTTTTTCTAGGTTGATTCGCAGCTCATGGCGTCAACTTCATAAATAAGGTACCATTATTCTGACTGCGCCATGCATAGACCGCCGCATCTTCTTAGACAATTTCATTCGGCAACGACTTTTTTCTCTCTCGCTGTTGATCTAGCTAAAGCTAAAGCTAGGGTCACGTGCTTGCAATGTAAACCAAGTAAAACGTACTGAATTGACTGCTGTTCTACAGTGGTAAGTAGCCCGTATATATAGCCCTGAACCCCCAAGTCACATGCACTAAACCCCTAAACCAGAGAGCCTTATACTGAACCATTCAACCTCAGCTGAACCGATTTAGCCTCACAGGGCATATTATGCCCTGTATCAACCTTACAGGGCATAATCTACTCAGTAATAAGCCTATGGCTAAAGCCCCATTAGTACACAGCCCCTTAAGGCTCTGTTCCAGGGCTTACTAAGCCTATTAGGGGCCTCAGGCCCCTAATTTCAACACTCGCTAGTTACTGTTGTGGTCACGTGGAAAGCTAGCGTTGTGGCTGCACCTCATTCTCACGGAGGCTCCGCCTTCTCTTTCTCTCAGACGTAAATATACCACTGCAACCTACCCTGCGTAGTTTGTGTGTATATAAGTCCCAAAGTTGCCTACCTACCTGCTAATCTAGCTACCTAGCTAGTCATTCTCTTTCCATCTAAATATTGCCGCCAATTACCCTGACCAAGATTTGTCCCTATTATTGAACTCGGTCGTCTGCATCTCGGCGCTATTCACTACTCACCGTGCTTGGGATAGTCCAAACGCGAATCTGGAAATGGCTTCCTCTGATAATGCCAACACGCCTAGCTATCGCGGTGGGGTCCCCAAGCTCAATCCCGATACCAGTGGTGCATTGCTGACACTTTGCAGGAAAGGATGCAGCGAGGATTGTCAGCCCGCCTACCATGAAACAGGACGAGGGGGTGGCTGGTGCGTTTTACCGTCTTATCCGACAATGCCACTGGGGGCTAACTGGAACCAGGAAACATCAGGGGTATACGTCTTTTCTTTGTGTACTGCCTTGTCTGCCAAATCTTCAGCACTTACCGTGCCTACGAGATATACCAAAGCTTTGACAGCTGGGCCGGTCTGAATCGTAAAGACAAATTCTTCCTCGCTTGGGGTGTCGTTTCTATCGTCGCCATGACTTTTTTTACGGCTGCTTATGCGGTCCTGGAATACCGGAGGAGACAGACAGGGAAAAAAGATAAGGTGTGATTCTTTGCTTCAATGGCCAAGGGGCTCGACTGGTATTGTTTGACAGCCTTAGGGAGGAGGCAATGAACAGGGGGTGCGAGTGAACAACTCTTAATGTAGCTTTGACGTTGTCAAGGCACTTATCACTTTTCCAATAATGTCATTATGAGGTCAATCCACTTATTCAAGAGCGATATGACAGGCGCCAGATCAGGAAGCAGGCCTGACCAGTGTGGGCAAAAACTACTCAAGCTACTCAAGCTACTCTAGAGTAGTCTTGAGTAGAGTAGAGTAGAGTTTGAGTAGCGTAATATAGTACTTGAGTAGAGTAGAGTAGAGTACTACTCTAGAGTAACTCAAGAGTAGTCACGTGCAAGTTATATAAATATAGTAAATCGATATTTATTTAATTATTAATAATAAATAAATAAAGTACCTATTAAGTAGTACTATATAATTTAAGCTAGAGGTTATATAAGACTACTTAAATACTATTTTTCTTTTATATAAAACAGATTTCCCTTCTCGAAATCTTTCTTTTCCTTCTTTTTTCTTCTCTTTTTACTTCTTCTAATTCGTCTTTAAATAACTCCCAGCTTTTTAAATAAGAAATTATCTTAATAGTACTCTTATAAAGTCTATTATATAATTTAGATATAATAAAAGTACCTTGAGAGAAGAGTCTGCCCCTAATAACTAAGGAAGCCTAAGAATATATTAAGGTTCTACCTTACTTACTAAGCCTTAATACTACTTAATTGGGTAGTATAGTAGTACTAGACTCGGGCCACCCCGGAGCCTTACCTAATTAGACTAGCGTGTCACGTGCAACATCACGTGCAACATCACGTGCATACTACTTAACTACTCTAGAATATTCTAGAGTAGTTAAGTAAAGTATTAAATAAAGTATAAGTAGTAAGAAATTTATTTAAGTAAAGTATAAATAGGGCCTACTACTTTATTCTACTTTACTTATTTCTTATACTAGGCCTAATAAGATTTCTGGAATGCCTTATTATATAGCTTAGAAGAAGTATCTATAGTTCTTTATTTCAAGTAAAGCCTATATATTATATACTTTACTAGTAGTATTACCTATATTAATACCGTAAAAGAGTTAATTATTATAGTATAGCAGGCTGTACTCGTTAAAAATCATGTTATTTTAGCGGTTTTGAGGTTTAGGTTATATAGTAAAGGCCATGGCCTTTTATATATAACTTGCGGAAATCATATAAGAAAGCTAGTTTTTCTATAGACTTAGAGAATAATTCTTTATATATATTTAATTAATTAAGCTTTTATATACTATATATTATTTATGCTTTACTATTTATACTTTTAATTTATTATTTTACTATTAAGTTACGTTTTATACTCTAGTATACTTTATATAAGTTTTTATTTTATTATAGTTTCTCTTTTATATATTTTATAGTAAGTAATATAGAAAAGAGAGAAACTTTATAATTAAGATAATATTTTTATAAAGTTCTAAGAGATATTTATAAGGCGAATTATTAGCTTAGTAAGTTAGAGAAAAAAAGGGCTATTATAATATCTTAAGCCTAAGGCCAAAATATTAAGAATATAAGAGTATTAATCTTAGTATCTTATATTAATTTCTAATATATCTAATAACTTAAATATAAATTAGCTATAAGATATAATTACTAGTATAATATATAGAAGTAATAGAAATAGAGGCTAATTATAAAAGGAAAAAAAGTAAAGAAAATAAAATAAGAAAAATTATACTAAGATAATACAAGTTAGATTTTAGTTAGAAATAGACTTTAGTATTCGGAAATAAAGTTATATTATTAATTTATATATTATTTTTAGTTATAATAAAAACTAAAATAAAAATAGTATTAGTTTTAGTAAAAATACTTATTTCTAAATTCGGAAAAAATACCTAAAAGAGAAAATACCCTTAATTTTAAATAAAATAGTAAATAGAAATCGGAAATAAATATTAAAAAGAAATTAGAAATAAGAAATTATATAAATAAACTAGAGAAGCTTCTAAAGAAAGAAATAAATATTAAATAGAAAAATAAAAGAGAATTTAGAAAAGTCAGAAAAATTAGTAAAACTATATTTATTATTACTTTTAATAATATTAATAAATATATCTAGTTTAGTAAAATTAAGGAAAAATACTATAGATATTAAGCTAAAGAAATAGAAAAGAAAATATAAGTAATAGAAATAAGATTAGAAAAGCTATTATTTTATTATTACTAATACTAAAACTCAAATCTCAATTATATTTATTATTATTAACTAGTTTTTTTCTAATTTCGGTTCCTAAATTAAAAAACATACTTAAATAGGAAATTAGCTTATTAGGAACCTTATTAGTAAAAGTTTCAGGTATAGAAATTCTATAATTAGTTATAAAAGAAATTATTAAGATTAATATAGCTAAGAATAAGTATATACTAGTACTAGGTCTAAATCTATTACTTATAGGAGCTCCTAAAGTATTATAGTTTTAGGAAAGTAATATCTTTATATTCTTGAAATAATATATAAATATATATAAGAATTCTTATATTTCTAATAATACTAAAAGAAAAAGAATTATTTATTATATTTCTCTTATTTATAAAGATTAGATTAAGGCTATATTAGAGTATTATACTAATAATTTAGGAAATTACTAGGAAACTAAGTTTTTTAAGGCCTTACTGAAAGAATTCCGAGAATATAACTAAGAAATACTTAAAATTAGCTATAACTTTCTTAATTAGATTATTATATAAGCCTAGAATAAAGAAATCTCATATAAGTTTTATATTAATATATTTAATAAAGTATTAAAGGAATTACTAAAAAGAAAAAAAAAAAAAATTATTTAGTACTAAGAATTTATAAGAGAATTATTTATTTTAGTAAGAGATTATATTCTTAAGAATATAAACTTTAAGCCTATAAATATTTCTATTTATAAATATAATAAAATATATAAGAAAATAGTAATATCTTATTAGTATAAAAAGAAAAAATATTATTTTAATATTACTAATAACCTAAATATATCTAGACTTAAATAAAAATATTTAAATATAATAATTTATAATATAATTCCTAAACTAGAAAATAATTATTTCTTATTAGTTCTTCCTATTATATTTCCTAAAACTACTATAAATATAAGTAAGAGAAAAACCTAGCCTATAGCTAATTATATAAAACTTACTAAAAGTAGTAAACCTAAAGAAAATAATATTAATTAGCTAGTAAGAAATCTAGAAAAACTATTTATTATTTTTATAACTTAAGAGAACTTATAAAAATAACTTAATATAGCTACTATTATAATTTGAGAAAAATATTTATAGCCTACTTATATAGCTTAGCTAATTATAATAAATATAATAGTATTAATAGCCTAGTAAATATAATTCGAGTTTTTAGGAAAAATATATTAGAAATTATAATAAAAGTTATAGAGAATATTATAATAGCTATAGTAATTAAGCTAAAATAAATAAAGAGTCTAAATAATTATATTCTAGAAAAGATTAGTCTTAAGTATAATTAGAAAATATTACTTAAGTTAATATAGCTTATAATATAAATCTAGAACCGAGAAAATAAATTTACTATAAGTATTATAATAGAAATAAAAATAAAAATATTAATCTAGAATATATTTATATTTCTTAGTTCTATTACTTATTAATAAAAGAACTTATAAATTATAAATATATTTACTAATTTAATAAATAATAATATAAAGAACTATTTAAGCCTAAATAAAAAAGCATTTCCTTTTTTCTTATTAATAAGTACTAGTAATTTAACTAAATTATTTCCTAAGTTTAAGAAAGAGAATTTAATTATAACTTAAATATTTAATCTAAAAATATCTAGAAATTAATAAGAAATATCTAATTTACTAGATAAGAAAGAAAAAAAGAAACTAGCTAACCGGGATCTATATATAAAAATAAGTAAGTTATATTTAGGGAATCTAAATAACTATTTTACTTTAGAGAAAATTATATTAGAATTACTAATACTTTAGGTTCTAGAATTAATAAATAATATTAAGATTTAGCTATAAATAATATTTCTATTAATACTATAATAGATTTCTTATTAAGAAAAAAGAGAAAAGAAATAAAAATAGCTAAAAAAGTTTTCTAAAAATAAACTAGAATAAAAGAAAAGCTATTTTATATAAGAGGCTAGAAAAATACTATTTTAAGAAATAATAAATAAGAAAATAGCCTAGCTAAAAATATAAATATTAATACTTCTAGAAATAAATAAAATAAATTAGAAACCTAGTATATTCTTAATTATAATAAATATAAAACTCTTGAAATTAATAATATTTTAATAAAATTACTAAAGAAAATAATTATTTTATTTCTAAAAACTTAAAAAGAAATAAAAATACTTATTAATATCTTAAAAATACTAGATCTAGCTATTATATTTTAGAATTAATAAATTAAAAATAATACTTTTTATTTTATTATCTTATAAATAAGAAATACTATTATATTAAATATAATTAAATATACTAGAAAATCTATAGAGCTAGTAGCTATGGCTTATATAATAAATAAAATATTTAAGAAATTAGAAATACTAGTTTAGGTATCTAATACTAATAGAATTATTTAATTTAAAAGTAATAGTATTAATATTTAGATATTACTAGCTTATAAATATATTATATAAGCTTTATATCTTTAATTTATATTTCGAGAATCTTAAGAAAATATTAAATATAAAGAAATAATTAATACTAGAGCTAAAGTTAATATTTTCCCTAAAAAAATCTTTAGAAATATTAATAAAATAATATATAATACTATAGATTATTAAATATTTATTATTACTAGAATAGAATTTGAATTTATAGAAATAATAAAGCTTAAAGCTAAGATTATAAATAAAGTAAAATATAAAAAAAAAAAATTTCTAATTAAAAAAGCTTTAAAAATCTTATTTAGTTAATTATTCTTAGTAAAAATAAAAATAAATATTATATATAGAAGTAATAGTTTATAAAATAAAAGATTTACTAATTCTAAAAATAACTAAAATACTTATATTATTATAATTATTTTACTTTTAAAAAATACCGGGAAATAAAAGAAAGTAATAATTTAAAAATATTAAGCTTCTAGAATTAAGAAATTAAATAATATAAAATAAGAAACTAAAAATAAAAAGAAAAAATAAAGTCTAATATTATAACTAGTAGTAATATTAGAGAAAATAAGAAAATACCGGAATTTCTTATAAATTCTTTTATTTCGGATTTAGGAATTTAGGAAATTAATAATATTTTTAAAGAAACTAAAATAAAAAAGGCTCTAATTAGAGTATTATTAAAAGTAG